GCAGAAATGTGAGAGAAAACACAGAGTAAAAGAGATGTTTGATGTGAAAAGTGTGCCGTTTCTTACCTCTGTTTTTCCTTGATTTCCTTTCCTTCAAAACAAAAGCAAACAGACAGATTTGACTTGATSTATCAGGTAAATCTGTTTATTTAAAACCATTTGAAACGCTTCAGTAATGGTGCATTAATGCAACAATCCATGCAGCTTTGAAAGGACTCTGATCGCCCATGTTTTAAACATTTTCTCTGCAGAAAAGCTGCCTTACAGAAACATTTATTTACTTGCAGATTCGGAGCTTCCCGACCTCGCCTCGGCCGGTTGCCTTGGCCCATTGCTGAGAAAGATATTTTGGTACCTGGAGGTCGAAACAAAACAGTATTTTAGGCGTAGTTTCACAAATTGTGATGTTTTGTTGGGTAGAAATGTAAACAAAGGTGGAGCTATAATCATTCCAAAATATATAAAAACGACAAAACTCTATTTAATTTGCTTTGTTAACCAAAAATAACAGGAATGCCACAGTTTCTGCATTATTTTAATACACAACTTATGACAGCTGTTTCCAATTATTCTACTCCAAAACTGTTTAAATAATACACACATATTTTAAAGGATAATACATACAAATATTAAATTTTGGCCAAATTACTACGTGATGTTATGGCCGACAGTTAGTACCCTAAAATGTTTGTAGAGAAAAATGTATTTGAAAGTATTTTATTCTGTTTTTGACACATTTATTTCAAGTTGCTTTACTGTGAATTAAATCTGTCCAAACGAAACAACAYGTAGACGTAATTAAAACACATTTCTTGTATGAAATTGTAGTTTATCTATTATTGCACTGATTATTATTTAGTGACTTAACCCAAGCTTTAAAAATGTTATTTTGTACTTTTCAGCAGTTAGCTCTAACTGGGTTGCTCCATCTAACTAAATTAAGCAGTGTAAACAAGTTTTAAACTAACTCAACAACCGTATTATAATTATTTTTATTCTTAGTTATAATTTACTTTTTTCAGTCATCAGTTAGTCAAACACAGCAGTTACTACAAGCTAGCAGACTGAAACACTGCATGTGCTAAAGCTAAGCTAACAAACACTTAGGCTGATACAGCATCAGCCTGCGTTTAAACAAATAACCAATATTTTAATTCTTCTACTGACAAAAGATAAACTTGCCACAAACGTACCTTTACGAGCCACACACCCGTGTTCTGCTTAGCACCCGTTAAATCCACCTCTGCTTTCTCCGACATGTTTCGGAGCAATGCTAAGTTTCTGTTATCGCGATAATGCGCGTGAAGACGAGACGAGGAAGCTTCGCTGCGCTGCTTTCAATGAACCTCGGAAATTTAATATTTCATTCTAAATATTTTTTTTCCCTTCGTCGCGTTCGTCTGACAGTGAAAGTAAAACAGTCAAAATAGCTAAATATTCTTAGTCAGAAAAACAATGATAGAAAACTAAAAATGAATGGCGAGGTTTAAAAGTATTTAATATTGCTGCTCCAGTTTCACAAGCAATAGTTTTTTTTTTTTTTTACAGACTTTCACTTCTTCTTGAAGAAAAGTCATAAACATGTTGAACAGCAG